GGGATTATAATCCGGCCATTGAAACCAAATGTGCGTGAACTGTTTTATAAATAATCTGCTTTATAAATCTGCACCGAAATCACAATAAAAAACTGAAAAGAAAAAAAGAAAATAAACTAGTCTACAAGGCTAATAGTCTACATGAACCACAGCCTCACCTTCCTAGAAACCAGAAGAACTAGAAGGTGCTTGGCTACCACTACCCACAGAACCTAGCAGAGACACAATGTTGTTGTTGTTATGTGCCATTGAGTCGGACCCGACTCACAGCGACCCCTCCTTGGGTTTCCGAGGCAGTAATCACTATGCAAGTAGATTGCCCCATCTTCCTTCCAAGGAGTGGCTGGTGGGTTTGAACCACCAGCCTTCTGATTAGCAGTCAAGTGCCTTAGGCACTAAGCTACCAGAGCTCCTTGTTGTTGTTGTTGTTATGTGCCGTCGAGTCAGCCCTGACTCATAGCGACCCCTCCTTGGGTTTCCGAGGCAGTATCACTACGGAAGTAGGATTGCCCAACCTTCCTTCCGAGGAGTGGCTGGTGGGTTTGAACCGCCAGCCTTCTGGTTAGCAGTCAAGTGCTTTAGCCACTATGCTACCAGAGCTCCTAGATGGTACCAAATAGAATAGGGGGAAAATGTAGAACAAAATTAAAATTCCTTAAAAAAAAAAAAAAAAAAAAAGCCAGACTTACTGGACTAGTAGAGACTAAAGAAATCCCAAGATTATAGCCCTGGGATCTTTTAAACTTGGACATCAAACCACAGCCAAAAGACAGAGTGGCTCATAAAATATTACTCATGAGAACTGTGCTACTCCAAATAATCATCTAAATGAGACCTAATGGTCAACATTTACCCTAGAGCAAAGATGAGAAGGTAAGGGCTGACAAAGAAGCTACATTAATAGAAACAGAATAACCAGAATAGAAATGATGAAAATGCTGACACAATGTCACTAAGTATGTTTAGAAATTATTAAATAAGAATCTAATTTGCTATGTAAATGTTCTCCAAAATCACAATAATAAATATATCTGTATGTATGTATGTATGCATATATGGCTGTGTGTATGTGTGCGTATGTGTGTGAGTATACATACACATATGGAGAGAAAGCGACCACATGCAAAACCTAATAAAAATGAAAACACAACCATGCTTGGGAGATTTCAACATTCTCCTCTCAGTAATCACTAGAAAAAGTAGAAAGAAATCAATAAGGATTTAGAAGACTTACACAACCCTACCAGCCAACTTGACCTAACTGAAATTTACAGAACATGCCACCTAACAACAGCAGCACACATATTCTTTTCAATTACACAAGCAAAATTCACCAACATATGCTGGTCCATAAAATAAATACAATAAATACAAAAGGAGTTGGAAATATGAAATATGAATGATATTGGAATTATAAGTAAAAATCTTCACACAGAAGAAACTCCTGGCCCAGAAGGCTTCATCAGTGAATTTAACTAAGAATACAGAAGATACACAATCACTTTTAAAAACAGAGGAACATTTTTGTTCAACATTTCCTAAATTGTTTTATGAGGGTCATCAAAACCAAGTAACAATAATATAAAAAAATCTCAAAAGAACAAAACCAAAACCCACCAATACCCCTCATAAAAATAAATGCAACATCCTTAACTAAATACTATTAAATCAAGTCCAGCAATATATAAAAACAGGATAATGTATCATGAATAAGTGGTGTTTATCCCAGGAATGCAACACTGGTTTACTCTTTGAAAATCAATATACTTTACCATATTAAAATCATAAAAGAAAAAGACACACAAGCATCTCAACAGATGCAGAAATAGAATTTGACACCATTCATCTACTCACGACAAAACAAAATAAAATCACTCAGCAAGGCAGAAACAGAGGCTATCCCCTCAACCTAATAAAGGGCATCCATAAATACCTACAGCTGACATAATAATTAATGGTGAAACATTTTCCCCATAAGACTGCGAATATGAAAATAACACCTGCATTTTACCACTTCCAGTCAACTTTTTATCAGAGATCCTAGCCAGTGCAATAAAGCAAGAAAAATAAAAAGCATTGTATTCAAAGACAACATGATTGTGTTTACAGAAAAACAAACGAAACCTACAAAAAACGTTCAAAATTAATCAGTAAATTTAGGAAAGTTATAGGTTATAGGTTCAGTATACAAAAATCAGTTGTATTTCTACATACCAGCAATGAAGTAGTAGAAAACTTAATATAAAAATTCCTTTATAACAGCATCAAAAATCAAGTTTCTAGAAATAAATCTAAAAAAATGTGCAAAATATATTGAAAACTGTTTAACACTACAGAAAGAAATTAAGAAGACTTAAAGAGATATATTATGTTCATGAATTCAAACACTGATTTATAAGATGCCATGATTTGAGACATATAAATAGATCTACACGTATATAGTCAAATCAATCCAATGAAGAAAGAGGGGTATTTATTCATTTTTTTAAGTCATGAAAATTTCAAGCATATGGAAAAATATACAGAAAATATTACTGAGCAGATGTATATAACTGCCATCTAGCTTTCTCAAACCTTTATAATTTTCCTGTCCATTTGGTCTTTAATCTCTACAAATTAAATGTGTGAACGTTCAAGTCAATATGGAAAGATTTAAAAGTACTCCATTTTCAAAATCACTAATTTTTTTAGATACTAATTTATAAAATAATTATGTATCATTATTGATTAGCATTCTGACATTTTCAGGCCTTTTGGCTTAATTTTTTTAGCAATAAAAAACTACTGAAGCAAAAACATAATAGTTACATTCTAATACTTAACACCATTACGTTTTCTGTTTTATAGTCCTAATAACCAGTTCACTTCAGAATATAATAATTCTCTTTTGGGTTTATTTTTCTTTCTTTAGTTTATCTATTCATGCTGTGATAATCTCAATATGCTTTTCCTGTCAGATTTTCCATTTGCTTGAAAAATGGACAGATGAAAACAAAAGTCAAACTTGGAGGTCATAACTGTAAGTCAAACATATACAGGGTTTTATCAAGTACTATATGAACTGGTTTCTTGCTATGGAATTTTATCTGTATACTGCTGAGCTAGGGTCTCCCATGTCTCTGGTAACCTATTTTTCAAGATCAAATAGATCAACTCTAAATAGCAAAAAGAGAAGCAGGAGAAATAAAAAAAACTACCCAAAACACTCCCTCCCCAGTTATTTCAGTCAACAACTTCTACTACTCATATTCTTAAAAGTAAGTCTCCCTTAAGGAAATGCAATTGAGGTAGAAAAGAGAAGTAACTTACTAAATCATCCAGTCAATTCAATAAACACTTATCAAGTACTGGGCCTAGATACTGTGGTAGGTGATCAGGTTAAGATGCAGTCCCTGACTTCAAGTGATTCAGGGAACTCTCTAAAGGTCACTTCTAGGTTTATGACTCCATCTATCATCCATTCAACAAATGTTTCTTGTGAACCTCCTGCATGACAGTTACTGTTCTCAGTGATGGAGACACAGCACTGAACAAGGTAGTTGCTCTCATGGAGCTTGCATTATGGTGAAACAACAAACAAAAACACAATGCCAAGTTATCAAAAGGCTATAAAGAAAAATAAGTCAGAGTAAAAAGACAGAAGGGTAGTTATTTTATACAAGGTCATGACATTCAAATTCATATTAAGGATACTCTAGCAAGCAAACACTTTGTTAGGACCTTTATGTTCTCATTCATGTTTTCATTTAACTGCTATCTTGAAAGGCATCAATAGTCTCCACATCACGAAATTAAACAGGATTTTTAGTCTCCACTTTCCTTATATTACTCCAAGCATCTGACACTGCTGACCACCTCCATTTTGAAACTCTAGTGGCTTGTGTGACAAATTTTCCTTCCTGGGTCTTATCTTTTGCCATTGGTGTGGCAAAAATAGATGCTGCACAACTGCATTCAAGATCTTATTGAGATCTTCCCTTCTCCAAACAAGGGAAACAGATTTTAATTGGTATGGGAACTGGAAAGTACACGACTTAATTTTGTTTTCATTTTGCAATAGTTTTTAAGATCACGTAACAACAAAATGACATTTGTTCAAAGCACTGGAAAGTAGTAACATCAGAAACAGACAGCTATATAACCTGTTATATTTCATAAAGTCCTTTCATATTTTACTTCAATTAATCCTCATAAAATGGTAATATCCTGTAAGGTCCAGTAACAATGTCATATTAAAAACAAAATCTAGTATTTCAGAATGATATCATTTAAAAACAATTAGATTTAAATAATTATCCATTATTTTTCTTTACTATTCTATTCTGGAAAATGCCTAAAAGTATAATAAAAATGATTTAAAAAAATAAAATAAAATAAACATCTCTAATCCCAATACTCAAAAATAATTTTTGCTAACATTTTGGTATAATTTATATATTTTCCCCCCACTTCTATTCAGTTTTTGTTTTTTTCTTTTTTAATTGTTTAAACTAATATTTTATTGTGTTTTCAGTGAAAGTTTACTCAGCAAAGTAGGTTCTCATTTAACAATGCCTACAAAAACTGTTCAATGGCAATGGTTTACATTTATTTTTTTACAATATGTCAACATTCTCATTGTTTCTTTTCTGGTTGTTCCATTTCCAGAAATCTAGTCGTTCTGCTCCGTTACCTTCTCATCTGTATTTAAGAGAACTGTTGACCATTCTATTAGTTTTGTTGTTGCTGTTGTTATGCTGCATAACTATGAAATTATTATTCTCTAACAAAGAAGCTTGCTTTTTCATTAAAAAGAAAACAAAGAAAGTAAATAGGGACCACTCTGACCAAAATAAATATGAAATCAAACCAACTAATTTTTATAATTTTTAAATTGAAATTTCATAGTCACAAGTGGAAAAACACAAAATAAAACATTTATTCAATTAACACTAACTATATTTACCATGTGGCAAATAATATGGACAAAAGATTATGTTCTTAAGAAGACTGATTCTCACCTGTTCAATCTCTTTGGTTTTTGATGCTATTGCTTTAGAGCGACTGGTTAGCTGGCTGTCTTCAAATAATTCTATGCCATCTGTTGCATTTGACTCAGGTTCTTCTGGCTGGTCGATGAACAATGGTGCTGCGGATCCTGCCTTTGAAAAAAAAAAATAGAAACCTTTAGCAGCTTAAAAGATACAGCATTTCAGATGACTGCATATAAGCACTAGCACCAACTGGAATGTTATAGCCAGAGAAAGTACTCAGTTTAACCTGTTTTAAGAAAAGAAAACACTCTGGATTTCATATGCATAATGAGTTTATGTGAAGAGGATTAAAGAGGAAATGATTGCTACTTTTATGATTTTATGTAAGACAAAGATTCTAGGCTTATTTCATTCTAAAAATATATTTCACATTATATTAAGATTCAGTTAGATGATTTTTGTTCCAAGACTACTTCTTAAGCAACCTATTTAAAGAACACTGAGGAGAAAAAGTCCAATTGAAAGTTACAGGTATGTATACACATAAAAAAATGTATTTAAGAGAAGGCTAGAAAAGGGCTCTACTTTCAAAAGTAAAACACCTTGTTCCTGTAGCCTATGAATTTATTAAAGTTGCTGAAGAGAAAGCAATTCCACAAAAAAATCCAGAACTGATTAATGAACTTCCTAAAAACACTTTTGAAAAATTAAATGACTAAGAGAAAACTATTATTTAATTACACTCACTGCTTATTCCAAAATTTACTGAACATATATCTATGGTCAATTGATTTTCAATAAGGTTGTCAAGTCAGTCTCTTGAACAAATGAGGTTATGACAACTGGATATCCACATGCAAAAAAAAAAAAAAAAAAAGGAAGTTAGACCCCTACCTCACATCATATAGGGAAAATTAACACAAAATGGGTCACATATCTAAACACAAGAACTAAACATCTAAAATCAGGGCTTTGAACCAATTCAAAACAGTTCAGTAATTGCCATCCATGTGTTGAACAGCAACCAAATCTACTGCCCATGGTTTTAATTATTATTTTATTTTACTTTTGCAGTGTTTCCTCCCCTCCCTTCCCACCCCTGGTAACCAACAAAGAAAGTTTCCTTCCATACATAAAACTTTCCTTGACTTTTTACAATAATGAACAATACAGTATTTGTCCTTCTGTGATTGACATTTCACTCAGCATAATGCCCTCCAAGTTCATCCATGTTAAGCAGTGTTTTGCAGATTCTACATTATTCTTTAGTGTTGTGTAGTATTCCACTGTGTGTATGTACCATAGCTGTTATCCATTCTTCCGTTGATTGCCCATGGTATTTTGATCCAAGTGGCAAACAAACAGCTATGGGCTACTCAAAGATGGTGCCTTGACCACACTACTTTGAATGTATGTTGCTCTCCAGAGTCTTGCCAATAATGTTGTTCTCCAAAAGTCATGTCACAGTTCCTCCTCCCGAAAGTTTCAGGAGCTTGATGTGGGAGACTGGATTTTTGGCAGGACTTGGGAAAGCAACACACATTCAAAGCAGCTCGATCACTGCCATCTTTGAGCAGGGCAGAGTTATTTATTTTCTACTCATGTCAAAATACAACGGGCAACAGATTTGGTTGCTATGCAGTGTTTAAACAGCCCTTGTTTACGATGGACCATTTTGAACGCATTTGAAGCCCTGCATAAAATTTTAAAAAGACTACATAAGGGTAATGTAGGTTTACAGAAATCAGAAGACATATATCTATTAATTAACTAAAACTGTGTCATCTCAACACCTGTGTGTGAGGGAGTGTTAAGTTGCTACACCTTCTTTGAAGCATATTCTGCTAGGATTTATCAAAATTTAGCACATGCCCCTTGTACCCAATAATATCACCTCTAGAACTTAACCTATAGATACTCACCACAGTAGAAACAGATAGTAAGATACAGCTGCCATTAAAAGCAAATGACTGAAAACAACCTAAATGCACACCCTTTCTGGATGGTCAAACTGATTACACACCATCTAGACCATGGGATACTAAGAAATCTTTAAAAAGAATAAAGCCAACATACATGAGCCATTCTGTTCTGACACACATGGGGTCACCATGACTCAGAACGAACTCAAAAGCAACTGTTTGCCATATGTGCTATATATTATACCTTACTTTTTCTCCTGGTGAGTCCTGGAGATCATTTCCTATCAAATTACTGCAAACTTTGCCAAAAAAGAAGGGGGGTGAAGGGGTTACTATATATGCACATATACATATACATGCATAGACTATCTCTGGAAAGATATATATGGAAAAAAATATATGAAAGTGGTTATCTCAATAGGGATAACTGTGAGGTAAGGAACAGGATGAGAGAAAGACAATGGATATACTTTGGTGTCATTTTAATTCTGACAAGTTCAGGGGTCATCTACTTTTTTTAAAAAAAAAAAACCTGTTTTTTACAAGTCTGAGTTACAGATTTAAAAGTGTGTAAACTGAAAGTATAAGAATCATTTAAGTAATAAATTCCTATTTCAGTATCACGTTTTTAACACCAGGTCATTGCATTCATATGAATATTTTATAAGGCTCCCAAATTACTTATCTCCTTTTACCCTTGCCACCAGTGAAGAAAATTTATAGCTTAAAAGAAATGGTAATGACACAAGGAATGTAAGTGAAGCATGACTGTAGAACATGGGTACACAGTAATAAAGGTTTAACTTTTCCGGTGGTAGGCAGGAATTATTTTTGGATGTGGGCCAAGGAAGTTAGATTACTTAAACTACCTATGTTCTGACTATTCCCAAGACCAAATACTACTAGATGCCATTTTAGTTAGGTAAAGGTCAAAAAATGAACTGTCACAGTTTAAAACATACTCAAAATAGGAATTTCAAGCTTCATCATAATTCTAGTAAAATCGTAAATTGTTGAGTACAGGCCCAGTGGTTAAAGTACTCAGGTGCTAACCAAAAGGTTAGTGGTTCAAACCCACCAGCCACTCTGAAGGAGAAAGATGTAACAGTCTGCTTCAGAAATTATTACATACAGCCCAGGAAACTCTATGGGTCAGTTCTACTGCCCTATAGGGTCACCATGAGATAGAACTGACACAACAGCAATGGGGATTTTCAACAGGTATACCATTAAAATATTCCACAGCTACTGTTCTAACAAATACTCTGGGAAATGCTCTACTGATGCCCAAAAGCTAAAACCACAAACTGAACGGAGCAGTGAACCACTGTCTACAAACTACATGGTCACCAACACAAATTGTTTACAATTGTATCGATGGCAGCAAGAGAAGATAAACTGGAAGCCCAAGCATTCAACCTCTCTCTAGTCAGAAAAATTAATCTACACAGTATTTCTGAAGTAAATGAACCAATATTTATATAACTAGTATACAATAAAATATAACATCAAATTAGATTTAAACATACACACAGTAACAGTACTAAACCAAACTCTTTTTGATCATCAAAGTCCTTTTTTCTTCCAGGTTATTTTATTAATTCAAAAATCTAGCAAATTTCACGCAAATATCAGAGAAAAAATAAAGAGGTAAAAAAAAAGTCTTTCTAGACCCAATGCCATTGACTACTCAGGGTCAAGTCTTATTCAAGCAATGAAAGAACATAAATAGAATATTTTAAATCAGAAAGGTTGATAGTAAGATGTAAAAAATTAAAAGGTATAACAATTTGACAGACAAGGGGAGGGGAATTTACTCCTGTTTTAGTTAGATGCTGTGTCGAGTCATCTCCAACTCATTGCAACCCTATGCACAGCAGTACAAAAGACTGTCTGGGCCTATGCCAGCCTCATGATCCTTGCTATATCTGAGCCCATCATTGTAGCCATTGTGTTGATCCATCTGGTTGAAGGTCTTTCCCTTTTTTGCTGACCCTCCACTTTACCAAGCATGATATCCTTCTCTAGGGAATGGTTCCTTCTGACAACATGACCAAAGTAGGTGAGATGGAGTCTGGCCATTCTTGCTTCCAAGGAGCATTCTGGCTGCACTTCTTCCAGAACACACTTGTTAGTCCTTTTAGCACTCCATGGAACTCTTACCATTCTTCCCCAACACCATAACTCAAAAGTATCAACTCTTCTTTGGTCTTCCTTATTCACCGTCCAGCTCTCACATGCATAAGAGGAGACTGAAAATACCATGGCTTGGGTTAGACGCACCTTAGTCTTCAAGGAGACATCTTCGCTCTTCAGCACTCGAAAGAGGTCTTTTGCAGCAGATTTGCCCAATAAAATGACGTCTGATGTCTTGACTGCTGCTTCCACTGGTGTTGATTATAGAACCAAGTAATATGAAGTCCCTGACAACTTCAATATTTTCTCCATCCATATTTATTGCCTTTATTTAATTTTGTTTAAAATAAAGCTGTTTATTGGACCAGTTGAAAGGATTTTTGTTTACTGAATACTGAGGTGTAATCCATACTGCAGACTGTATTCTTCAATCTTCATCAGTAAGTGCTTCAAGTCATCCTCTCTTTCAGCAAGCAAAGCTGTATCATCTGCGTAATGCAGGTTCTTAATGACTCTTTCTTCCAATCCTGATACAACGTTTTTCTTCATGTAATCCAGCTTCTTGGATTATTAGCTTAGCATACAAACTGAGTTAAGTACAAAGAATGTATACAACCCTGGTGCATTCCCTTCTTGATTTTAAACCATACAGCATCCCCTTTTTCTATTTGAACAACAGCCTCCTGGTCCTGCACAGGTTCCTCATGAGTACAATTAAGTGTTCTGGAATTTCCATTCTTCTCAATGTTATCCATAATTTGTTATGATCCACACAATCAAATGCTTTTGCATTCTCAATAAAACATAAGCAAACATCTTTCTGGTATTCTTTGCTTTCACCCAAGATCCATCTAACATCATCGATGACATCCCTCGTTCTATGTCCTCTTCTGAATCCAGTTTGCACTTCTGGAAACTCTCTGTCAATAAACTACTGCAACCGTTTCTGAATTATCTTCAGTAAGATTTTACTTGCATGTGATATTAATAATATTGTTGGATAATTTCCACATTTTGTGGGATCACCTTTCTTTGGAATGGGTAAAAATATGGATCTCTTCCAGTCAGTTGTCCAGGTAGCTGTCTTCCAAATCTCTTGGCATAGCCAAGTGAGCAGTTCTAGCACAGCATCTCTTTGTTGAGACATCTCAGTGGGTATTCTGTCAATTCCTGGAGCTTTGTTCTTTGCCAATTCCTTCAGTGCACCTTCAACTTCTTCCTTCAATACCACTGGTTCTTGATCATATGTTACCTCCTAAAATGGATGAACATTGACCAATTCTTTTTGGTATACTAAAAACTCACTGCCACTGAGTCGAATGCAACTCATAGCAACACCTCCTTGGGTTTCCAAGGCAGTATCACTTCGGAAGTAGACTGCCCAATCTTCCTTCTGAGGAGTGGCTAGTAGGTTTGAACCACCAGCCTTCTGGTTAGCAGTCAAATGCCTTAGGCATTACACGTCATTCCTTCCATCTTCTTTTGATGTTTGCTGCATCATTCCACATTTTGCCCACAGAATTGTTCAATATTGCAACTCGAGGCTTAAATTTTTTCTTCAGTTCTTTCAGCTTGAGAAATGCTGAGTGTGTTCTTCCCTTTTGGCTTTCTAACTCTAGGTTTTTGCGCATTTCATTATAATAATTGGCTTTGTCTTCTCAAGATACTCTTTGAAATCTTCTGTTCAGCTCTTTTATCTTGTCATTTCTTCCATTTGCGTTAGCTACTCTTCACTCGAGGGCAAGTTTCAGAATCTCTTCTGACATCCATTTTGGTCTCTTCTTCCTTCCTTGTGTTTTTAATGACCTCTTCTGTAGTGATACTGCCTCAGAAACCCAAGGCGGGGGATCGCTATGAGTCAGGTCTAACTCGACAGCACATAACAACAACTTACTTTCTTTATGGATGATATTCTTGATGTCATCCCACCATTCCTTTAGTTTTCAGTCACTGGTATTCAATGCATCAAATCTGTTATTTAGATGGTCTCTAAATTTAGGAGGGATATTATCAAGGTCATATTTTGGCTCTTGTGGGCTTGTGTTAATTGTCTTTAACTTCAACTTGAAACTTGCATATGAGCAGCTGATGAGTGGTCCACAGTAAAAAATTAAAAGGGTAACAATTTGACAGACAGGGAGAGGGGAATTTATATACCTTAACAAATCCTTGCTAATATAAGATAAAAGATAAAAAATTAGTATTTGGGAGATTTATGGTTTTAAGTACTCCCAGGAAAATGATCACTTCTTCAAAACAGTAACTTTTGAAGCAGAAATGTCAATTATTAATATAAAAACCATTATTCTAAATTATTAAGAAAAGAACCAAAATGACCCTAGTAAACACATTACCGTATCGTTCATGCTTTTAAATACTGCTGGGAAAGTGCCAGAGAGGGACAGCTTGTTATTTCTGAGACAGTTACTCAAGAATATCTATAAATATCTATTATGATGGCTATAATAACAAGGAAATCTTGACTTATTTAAGAACAATTGATATCTAAATGCCAGATCAGTATTTTAAAAAAGGTCATATTTGTTTAAGTGCTGAAAGGGTACTTTCTTTGAGCAGTCTCGGATTACTACTTCGTAATGAACTTTTCCATCAGGTATAAAGACATGGGTATGTATATAATTTTTATATAAAATCTATTTTTACCTAAAATTTTTATATTGATCCCTTTCCATAAAAGTTATACAAATATATCAAAAAGCCAGAATTCTCCTTCAAATATAGTTTGTCACAGACTTTTATACTCTCTGCCTATGTCAGCAAAATATTTCATCTAGCCTCAAATGCTGCTTTGATTAAAAGCTTTATTTTCCCCATAAAACATCTATCTTTGCCTTTTATAGAGGTGTTATAGACTACACAGAATTTTTCAATTTATTTTCAAATATTTTAATACAAATAATGTTATAAACAGTTCTCCAAAAATGCTCTCATTTTTCTGGCACTCAAGATTTATCAAAGGTCAAACATAGACCAAACTGTGCATTATTTCACCTCTGGGGAAATTTATGAGACAATTCCACGGAGTATAACATGCAAAAAAGTACAAGAATCTATGTCCAACTAGATTTTTGTTCTGCATTCACTGGTTTACAACTAGTGGCTCAGCATGATTTCCTAAGATACTTCTAACAGCAAAACCCATTACAGAACATGCATGTTCCTTGTACTTCGTATTTCTATTATCCCTACACTCCTAAACTACTGAAGACATGCAGACACAATAAAATTCCTTAAGTCAGGGTCATTCATATTTACACCAGCACTCTGTGTGGTAAATTTTGAAAATCCATGAGAACATTTCCCTCAAATGTAACATTTTACAGTATTAAAAAGTACAAATACTTTCCCCAAAGTAAGTGGAATCCAGACAAAACTTTCAGAAAAGAAACATAAAGGAGAAATTATACCTTACCTCATACTCAGAAATTTCAGGTAAGTTACTCTCATCTGCCTTTTCTAGCTTTTCTGCAGCCCATTTGCTTGCAGCCTCAGCAAGTTCCTTTTCAGTTAGCCTGCTGGGCTTGTCCAACACCTAATAAAACAAAACCACACTTCTGTTACAATTCACAAGGGCTTTAAAATTCAAATACATCAAAAAGTATACCCTACTAACACTTAAAATCATATAAGCCTTCAAATTTATATGGACAACAGGTACATTCTGTATTTGTTTTCAAAAATATTCCACACATAATTCCTTTAAGTAGCAATGCATTGTAACATATGACTATAACTGACTCACAAATCTATTTACACAAAACTTCAGATATTTATCTATGGAACAAAGCAAAAGATACTGACAATTAAGTCATATACTAATTGTATTTAGAACATGTTGTTGTTAGATGCCATCAAGTCAGTTTTGAGTCATAGCAATGCTATGTACTACAGAGGCACTGCCCAGTCCTGCATCATCTTCACAGTTGTTGCTGTGTTTGAACCCACCGTTGCAGCCACTCTGTCAATCTTTCTCTTTGACAGGCTTCTTTTGTTTCACTGATTCTCTCTTTATCAAACATGATGTCCTTCTCCAGAGACTGGTCCTTCCTACCAACATGATCAACATATGGGAGACAAACTCTCGCCATCCTTGCCACAAGGTGATTTCAGGCTGTACTTCACCCAAAACAGATTTGTTCATTTTTCTGGCAGTATATTCAATATTCTTTGCCAACATCATAATTCAAAGGAATCAATTCTTTTTCAGTCTTCCTTAGACATTGTCCAGCTTGCACGTGCATATGAAGCAATTGAAAATATCATGGCTTAGGTCAGGCACCCTTTAGTCCTTGAAGTGACATCTTTGATCCTGAAAACATCAAAGAGGTCTTTTGTAGCAGCTGTGCCCAGCAAAATACATTGTTTGATTTCTTGACTGCTGCTTCCATGGGCACTGATTGTGGATCCAAGTAAAATGAAATCCTTGACAACCTCAATCTTTTTTTCACTTAACTTGATGCTGCTTACTGGTCCAGGTGTGAGGATTTTTGTTTACTTTATATTGAGATGCAATCTATACTGAAGGCTGTACCCTTTGATCTTCATCACTAAGTGCTTCAAGTCCTCTTCACTTGCAGAAAGCAAAGTTGTGTCATTTGCAACTCACAGGTTGTTAATGAGGCTTCCTTCAATCCTGATGCCACCTTCTTCTTCATACAGTCTACCTCCTCAGATCATTTGCTCAACATATGGATCAAATAATTACAGTGAAAGGATAAAACCCTGATGTACACCTTTCCAAATTTTAAACCAAGCAGTATCCCCTTCTTCCATGTGAATAACTGTCTTTTGGTCTAGGTACAAGTTTTGCATGAGCACAATTAAATGTTCTGGAATTTCTATTCTTTGCAATATTATCCATAATTTTTTATGATCCACACAGATCTTAATATAAATAAGTAGAATATAAAAGACATCTTATTGATTTCAACTGTGCATACTGACATTTCATCATGCTAAACTTCTAATTAATACAATAAAAAAGTCTGTACATGCTACTTACATAATTTGTAATGTAAGTTTTTATGAATAGCCCTGAAATACTGTCCAATATAGTGATGGAAAATGGGCCCCTCAGGTCAAAAGGCACTCAAAATATGACTGGGGAAGAACCGCCTCCTCAGAGTAGAGTTGACCTTAACGATGTGGATGGAGTAAAGCTTTTGGGACCTCCACCTGCTAATATGGCACAACTCAATGTGAGAAGAAACCGCTGCAAACATCCATTAATAATCAGAACACAGAATGTACGAAGTATGAATCTAGGAAAATTGAAGTTGTCAAAAATGAAATGGAACTCATAAAGATCAATATCCTAGCCATTAGTGGCCTGAAGTGGACTGGTTTTGGCCATTCTGAATCAGACAACCATATGATCTACCATGCCAGGAATGACAGACTGAAGAGGAATGGTGTCAAATACATCATTACAAAGAATGCATCAAGATCTACCTTGAAGTACAATGCTGTCAGTGATAGGATAATACCACATGTCTACAAGGAAGACCAGTTAATACTATCACTATTCAAATTTACGCACCAACCACCAAAGCCAAAGATGAGGAAATTGAAGATTTTTACCAACTCCTTGGAAGGAAAACTGGGCAATCTACTTCCATAGAGATGCCACCTTGGAAACCCAAGGAGGGGTCACTATGAGTTGGAAATGACTTGATGGCAGTGAGTTTGGTTTTTTGGTTTCTGTAGTCTGAAACTGACCAAACATGTAATCAAAATGTGTTAATTATTACTGGTGATTGGAATGCAAAAGTTGGGAACAAAGAAGAATCACCAGCAGCTGGAAAATACGGCCTTGGTGACAGAAATAACACCCGCAATCCTATGACTGATTTTTGTAAGACCAACTTATTCATCACAAATACCTTTTTTCAACAACACAAACAGGGGCTATATATGTAGACTTCTCCAGATGGAGTGCACAGGACTCAGACTGATTACATCTGTGTCAAGAGGTGATGGAGAAGCTCAGTATCTTCAGCCAAAACAAAGCCAGGAGCTGATTGTGCAACAGATCATCAACTGCTCATATGCAAGTTCGGGTTGAAGCTGAGGACAATTAAAACAAGTCCACAAGAGCCAAAATATGACCTTGATTATATCCCACCTGAATTTAGAGACCATCTAAAGAACAGATTTGATGCACTGAACACCAGTGACCAAAAACCAGAGGAATTGTGGGATGACATGAAAAGCATCATCCATGAAGAAAGCAAGAGGTCATTAAAAAGACAGGAAAGGAAGAAAAAAACAAAATGAATGTCAGAAGACTCTGAAACATGCCCTTGATCAGAGAGTAGCTAAAGCAAATGGAAGAATGACAAGATAAAAGAACTGAACAGAAGATTTCAAAGAGCAGCTTGAGAAGTCAAACTCAATTATTATAATGAAATGTGCAAAGACGTGAAGTTAGAAAACCAAAAGGGAAGAACACACTCGGTATTCTTCAAGTTGAAGGAACTGAAGAGGAAACTGAAGCCTTGAGTTGTAAAACTGAAAGATTCTATGGGCAATATATTGAATGATGCAGCAAACACCTGTACCAAAAAGAATTAGTCAATGTTCATCCATTTCAGGAGGTGGCATATGATGAACAACCAAAGGTATTGAAGAAGTCCCTAAAGAAGGAATTGGTGAAATAACAAGGCTCTAGGAATTGATGAAATACTCACTGAGATATTTCAACAAACAGATGCTGGGTGGCAGGCACTCGGTCGGCTATGCCAAGAGATCTCGAAGACAGCAACCTAGCCAACTGACTGGAAGAGATCAATATTTGTACCCATTCCAAAGAAAGGTGATCCCACAGAATGTGGAAATTATCCAACAATATCATTAACATCACACTTAAGTAAAATCTTACTGAAGATAATTCAAAAACCGTTGCATCAGTATACTGACAGAGAGTTTCCAGAAATGCAAGCTGGATTCAGAAGACAACAAGGGATACCACTGCTAATGTCCGATGGATCTTGGCTCAAAGCAAAGAATACCAGAAAGACGTTTACTTGTGTTTTAATGACTATGTAAAAGCATTTGATTGTGTGGATCATAACAAATTATGGATAACCTTGAGAAGAATGGAAATTCCAGAACACTTAATTGTACTCATGAAGAACTTGTGCATAGACCAGGAGGCTGTCTGTTGTTTGAACAGAACAAGAGGATACTGCATGGCTTAAAATCAGGAAGAGAGTGCACCAGGGCTGTATCCTTTTACTTTACTTATTCAATCTATACGCTGAGCAAATAATTTAAAAAGCAACTACACAAAGAAGAACATGGCATCAGGATTGGAGAAAGACTCATTAACAGCCTGCGATATGCAGAGGATACAACTCTGCTTGCTGAAAGTGAGGATGATTTGAAGCATTTACTGATGAAGATTGAAGACTACAGTTTGCAGTATGGATTACATCTCAATATAAAAAAAACAAAAATCCTCACAACTGGACCAATAAGCAGCATCACGAAGAATGGAGAAAAGACTGAAGTTGTCAAAGACTTCATATTATTTGGTTCTACAATCAACACCAATGGAAGCAGCAGTCAAGACATCAGACGATGTACTGCATTGGGCCAATCTGCTGCAAAAGATTGCTTTCAAGTGATGAAGACTAAAGATATCTCCTTGAAGACTAAGATGTGCCTAACCTAAGCCACGGCATTTTCAATCGCCTCATATGCATGTGAGAGGTGATAATGAATAAGGAAGACCAAAGAAAAATTGATGCTTTTGAGTTGTGGTGTTGGTGAAGAATACTGAAAGTCCCACAGACTGCTAAAAGAATGAACAAATCTGTACTAGAAAAAGTGCAGCCAGAATGTTCCTTGGAAGCGAGAATGGCCAGGCTTTGTCTCACCTACTTTTGTCATGTTGTCAGAAGGAACTATTCTCTGGAGAAGGATATTATGCTTGGTAAAGTGGAGGGTCAACAAAAAAGGGGAAGGCCCTCAACAAGGTAGAACTGACACAGTGGCTGCAATGATGGGCTCAAGTATAGCTAGCATAGTGAAGCTGGCATAGAACCGGGCAGTGTTTCATTCTGTTGTACATAAGGTCGCTATGCATCAGAGATGACTTAATGGCACCTAACAACAACAACTTACATATGTCAAAAAGACAGTGACATACCTTAATTAACTAGTAAATGCTGAACTGGAACATAAAACTAGGTCTTCTGGAAAGGGCTCTTATCCTCCCTCTCCACCAATTATGTGAATTATTTAATTATTTAAATAATTTGGTGGGTTATGTAATTCACCAAACTACTGATCATCATAATATTTACTGGATGATCTTATGATATGTCCACATGGAGTGTAACCATAGCCACTGCATAAGCCTATATTGTTGTTGTTGTTGTTGTTATGTGCCATCGAGTCAGATCCAACTCATAGCGGCCCCTCCTTGGGTTTCCAAGGCAGTATCACTATGGAAGTAGATTGCCCCATCTTCCTTCCGAGGAGTGGCTGGTGGGTTTGAACCACCAGCCTTCTGGTTAGCAGTCAAGTGCCTTAGCCACTATGCTACCAGAGCTCCCAAGCCTATATAGCACACCTCAAAAACCTGCTCATATGGAAAGTTATTTTAAAAATATTGAAATTATTATTATAATTTTTTTAAAAAAAGGAAAGAAGAAAACAAAAACAAGTATACACACAAACATGCAAATACATCCAAGGAAATAATTTATAGTCCTTTTTTGAAGGCAATATTATAGAGCAAAATAAAAAGAAAAATCAAGTTGTATGCAGGCAAGAAGGAAACAAAAACCTTCTATGATTAAATGTACTTATTTGCCATAAAATTCTGTATACTTAAAAAAACTATACCATTTGAAACTAACTTCTAACAGCAGGAAATAAACTCAAAAATTATTCCTACATGTGAGCTGCAATAATAGTTAGGAGAAAAACTTTACCAAATCAAGAAATCTAGGTCAATAAATCCCCTGCAGCTACAATGTGACCCTTGATAAAGAAGAGAGGGGCCTAACTTTTTCAATATGTAAAATTATTAGAGATCTAATATCCTGATTCCATTTTAAGACTAGGGTTTCAGTACAAAAATGTAAAGATCTTTGTGCACCTGTCAGACAAAAATATCTGAAATCCATTAAGGCTGTTTCACACTAAATATATTTCCATATGTAGCACGAAGTCCTATGTTGTAACTTACATCTACATTTCATTATATTTCAAGGGAAATGAGTGTTTTATATATGCAAATTTAAATTTTCATAGTAACATAAATGAGTAGTTATTATTTACTCTTATTTACTACCTGACAAGAAAAGCAAGCCAGTATTTCAGGTGAGCAAAGCACCCTTTTTATGGTAAGACAGAGACAAAACTCCAATGAATCTTTGGTATTCAAAGCTCAGCATTCTAGAACCCTCAGACTTCTAGGAAAGTTCCAAAAATACAAAGAGTCACTAAGAAATCTTTCTCTCTGTTTCCTTTGAGGCAAAGCAGCAGCTTCCTTCTAACACTCAGCAAACACAGCCAAGTGATATCTACTTTTGCCAGAAAGACAGAAACAAAAAAAAAGGTGAAGAAAAAAGTAACAAAAGTTATGGCAAAGAGAAAAGGCATGAGATCAATGAAGTGAACATCTAACTACAGAGAATATATGGAAGCAAACACCTTAAATTTTTAATTTTTGAGCACTAGAAGCACGGGGCATCTTTTCAACAGTTTTGGGGCACCAGGAAGGTAAGAATGATATTGTGTAAGAGTAGCTATGTCCTTGAGAAAACTATTTAACTTCTTAGCCTTTATTTACTCTTCATTACAATGGAGATATATAGGTAATTATATCATCTCATCCTATTTCTGTATGAATTAATAAGAGAAGACCATATATACTTATAGTATCTAGCGCTACGAAATTACTAAAGAAATGTTAGGTCACTGTTAGATAGGTAGAGTCAAGTATTGATTTGGGTGAAGAGAAGGGCAATGTACCAAATATGAGTGATCGACATGGTGGCAGTGAGGTGAAGGAAGATAGAGAGAGGTGCATGTGAGGTATAGACAACAAAGGATATACGGGTGGATAGATGGGTGGGCAGGCTGAACTATTAGGTATGTCCATGGAGGAGGGAGTGTGCCAAAGACCATGTATAGGGTTGGCAAACAATGTTTCTACAAGTGTATTTGTATGTTCTGTAAGAATTCCCAGGTATAGTAGAGCTGACAAGGGACAAAGTTGTAGTTACTTCTTGGACACAGCCAGCTATCCAGAGGGAGCAAGTAGTTGCACCTGTGGGCTCAGGACCACAGTCTCAGGGGACATCAAATTCAATTGGCATAACATACTACACAAAAACAATGTTCCACATCCTACTTTGGTAAGTAGCAACTGAGATCTTAAAAGCTTCCAAGCAGCCTCTAGATGTAACGATGGGTCTCTCCTCTTCCAGAGCAAAGAAGAATGAAGAAAATCAAAGACACATTGAAACAATTAGTCCAAGTGACTGGTATACCATGCGATCGCAGCCTATATGACTATGAGACCCAAAGAATTAGAGAGTACCCAGCTACCACTGTCAACCACTCAGAGGGGGATCTCTGTAGTAGATCCTGGATAGAATGGGAGAACAATGTGGGAGAAAACTCAAAATCATTAAAAAAAAAAAAAAAGAAAAAAAAAGGACCAGGTTTACTGGTCTGATAGAGCCTGACAGAACCACTGAGACTATGGCCCCTAGCTGCCCTTCAGGTCTGGAACTGAACCCACTCCTGTGGCTTCTAGCCAAATAAAAGACAGGTATATGAGCTGAACATTTACATTAAGTAGATACACTTCCTGGAGAGAACAATCATGGGAAAACAGAAGGGCTATGTATGCACAGGGAGACAGCTCAGGCAGCAAAAATGCATGGGAAGGATACAGGGAAGAGATAACTACGGGGAGGAAGTGGAAAGGGAGCTGTTGCAATGTGGTAAACTATAGTCAATGTCATGAGACAAGAACGTATGTGAGCGACTATAAGGAAAATGGATTTGCTCTGTAAACTTTCACCCAAATCACAATAAAAATTAAAAAAAAAAAAAAAAAGTTAGGTCTCTGCCTATTACCACCACCTTCCAAAATAAAAACATAGTCTATCAAATGTGTTCCATGTGAATATGCATTCCCACCTGATTATGTTACAGATGAACAAGGTTAGCAGTAGACACCAACTTCAGCACAGCCTGTGGAAAAAATTCTGTAAGAAAACTGCTCATTTACTTTGTTCACTACTTACAAGTTGTGATTACTTAAAATTCAAGTTTTTAAATGAAGCAAATTATCCCCATTAGGCATAACAGTAAAGAATAAAAGCATACAAAGTAATTCTCCTTACACTGATTTTAAAAGTACAACAAACCTTTGATGAAGGAACTGCTGAAGAACTTGAGGGGGAAGTATCTCTTGAAGTTTTCAAAGGCTGGACAGGTCTCTCTTTACCTATGTAAGAAAATACAAAGTATAATTTTCTAGCTCATTTGTTTTTAATTAGATTGATTCTGTAAGTGAATCAATGAGGGACTTATAGACTTATTTTACTGCTGAAATTTCCACTACATTTTTAAATTAAATTTGTTAATATCTAAAACTACTTCTTCCCCTCAGGTGCTGGGTACCATCAAAATTCAGAAATAACCCATGCCAAAGGGCATCACCTATGGCAGTCTAGGCCATACCAATACCAGTTAGCAAACATGAAGTCACAGAGGAGATCCCACGAAAGACAAAACACACATTTCAAAATCATCCATACCTCCTCTCCCAAGTTCTTAAAAGCCAAATTTTAGTAACTACAGTAAAAATCCAAGGGTAGTACTATACAGATAACTACCACCAGAAAGAACTAGCTAATAAGGACTAGCTTCAAGGAGAGAACCATATAGTAAATTTAGCAGGTATTCCTGAAATATCGGGATAGTTTTTAAAATAAAAATTACAAAGTCATCATTCAAAGCACTAATCCAGTGCCTGATACTAAATGAGTATTCAAATACTGATTAAATGAATAAAAATATAAATTGGTGTAAAATAAAGTCAGTGATCTTCATCTTTAGTCATTTCAGATATCCACAAAGTGTTGCTGTTACATGTATTACTTATAGAAAAATACTTAAATTGAAAAATACATCTAAACTTTAGCAGGTTAAACAACAAAAAATTAAATAATATTTTAAAAATAAGTAAGAGTGAGTTGTTACTGATAGAACAACATTTAATTGTCAATATGTGTCAAGGTATAACATAAATCCTCTACTCTTAACTGCTAAAGAACTCACAAAAATTAACAACAGAGGAGAAAGTAGCACCAAATTAAGAGTCACAAAGAAGTCAGTCAAGGCTGCACAATGGGTTAAGGCCAGGAAACCAGTCAAGAGCAAAAGCTGAGACAAAACAATGCTGAAATTTAGGCAAAGTCTTCATCTGTCAAAAACCACAATTAAGTGCTTTCCTGCTATAGCCAAGATCCTTGCAAAATAAAAGCCTGGAGGCCCAACAGTAACCACCTAGGGTAGCTGAATAACATCTCTTTCTAATCTCTTAAAAATCCTGAAAGATTTTCTCAAGAAAAAATGGTTTTCAACAGGGACAGTTCTGCAGCCTCCTCTCTTTCACCCATATCTCCCAGGACAACGGGCAATATGTGAAAGCACCTTTGATGATCACAACGAGTAGAGTGCCACTGCTGTTGTTGCTGTTGTTGTTAGATGCCATTGAGTTGGCTCTCCCACCCACAGTGACTCTACATACAACAGAATGAAACACTGCATGATCCTGTGCCATCCTCATAATCCTTGCTATGCTTCAGCCCATCGTTGCAACCACTGTTTCAGTCCATCTTGTTGAGGGTCTTCCCCTTTTTCACTGACCCTCAACCAAGCGTGATTATCATTCTCCACGGACTGTTCCTTCTGACAACATGAACAAAGTGCGTGAGACAAAGACTGGCCATTCTCACTTCTAAGGAGCATTTCTGTTGTACTTCCTCATGACAGATATGATTGTTCTTCTGGCAGTCCATGATATTTTCAGAATTCTTCACCAACACCACAATTAAAATGCATCAATTCTTCTTTGGCCTTCCTTATTCACTGTCCAGCTTTCACATGCATACAAAGCAATTGAAAACACCATGACTTGGTTTAGGCCCCTGGCACATAATGAACAGAGGCCAAAGATACTCACAAACATCCTATAATGCACGGGATAGCCCCCTGCAAAGAATTATCTGACCTCAAATATCAATAATGTTAAGGTTGAGTACTCCTGCTCCAGGCTAAGTATTCTAACTCTGAAGCTCCCACAGTCTGAAAAAAAAAACCATTAACTCTAGAATCCTTTAACTTGAGGTAGCATAAGAGACTTTTAAACTAAGCAAGTGTAAAAGTTCTTGAAGACTTTAAGAATCAAGAAAAATGATATAAGGCATTGTTACATCCCCAAATGACTAAAAATATGGTTTATTTTGTTATTTTCTACTATATTAACATTGCACTTGGCAAATTCTACATCATACTGTGACAGTGTTAGTCTACACCACTATACCAAAAGCTTCTACAGAAAAACAAGCACCATCGTTTATTCATTTCTGAATACCCTGGACCTACCTAACTGATGAAGTCCTTGAAGACAAGACTCAAAACATAGGTGAAAAAATGAATCTTATTCTTCTACCTTTAGGATGCAATGACTTCCCCATCCTATTCAGATAAATAATCCCCTAAAAGAAGATGAGAAGCTGGGCCTATAGCACAGCACACTATGCTAATTATAGGCATAATAGCAGGCTCAATTCTGGTACATATAAGCTAGCACATTAAGGGCAGGGGAGAACCTTCAGAAGCAGCTGCTAATCTCCCGCTAGTGTAGTCTTTGGACATTTTCTGATTTTAGCTGCTTAAGGGCTAATTTAAGCAGATTTTAACCATTCTCAATGTGCAGAAGCAAAGGAACATTGAAGGGTAGGTCAGGGCAGGAAGTTTATCACATATCCATATATATTCATACATACCTGTTGCATGGGGAAGAGGGATAGGCAAGAAGCAAAGGACAAAGAAAAAGGATGATACAGATGGCAGCAGAAAGACCACAGAAGCAATAAATACAAATCCTCTGATCTTACTGTTGTCAGGGCCAATGGCCTGTTTACAGATCTCTACCTCCTGTGAGGTGGCTTATTTCTGACCACAAATGGCTAGCCCAGTCAGCAAACCCATACCTCCCCCTCAAGTATTACTGCTTAGGTCTACTACTGTTCAATTCTTGTTCTGACAGCTGTTGATGGAACAGTTATATCAATCCAAGCCCCCCATGCCTTCAAAATCCCAAATCAGAGTCTAGCTCAAAACTCACCTCTTTCTGGCTTTCCTTCATTCTGCCGTTTGTAGGAGGCACCAGCACACACGGGCTCTAGGGAAAGGTGGGCAGGGAGGAGTTAACACCAGCACCTCTGTGCTCAGGAGGAACAAGAGAAAAATCCAGAAGTAGGAATGATGACAATAATAGGGACTTCTAAGCATTTGCTGGTGACCCTAAATTTTTTCCTACTCTGCCTTCAAGTTGAGCAACCACCAATGAAAAGGAATAAATAACAAGAGAAAATCTGTTTAAGGCCAGAAGCTAACTGGGTCCAACAACAACTGAAGTGTTAAGATGAGGCTACCAAGTACAGCATGGGCAGAAGAAATGAGGAAAAGATCACGGTAAGAGAAGACACTGAAAGTTGAAGACAGGGATCATGTCTTAGTCATCTTTGTAAACACCTAGTCTAATCTCCATGAAGTCAACGTTCAAAGAACTAATAAAGGATGACACAAAAACTCAATGAATGAAAGATGAACCTACATGAGAAATCAGAAAGTACACTGGGAATGTTTTCAAGGTCTGTCAGTTCCCTGGGCTAACAACAGCTATCTGCAAGTAGCCTTCTTCATTAGAGATGATAAAGTTAGGGGCCACGTCTTACAAACTATTAAATTCTCAATATAGTGCCTGACATGATACCTATAAAACAGGTAAATAAATATACTCCACAGCACAGGTAGAACATTAATCTATCCTCTGACAGTTGAGGCTCTGAAAAAGAAATTTAAGGTAGGAACAAATGAAGAGCTTGCTACACAGCTACCGAGAAAATGATATGCTTTCTGGGTCATGAAATTTAGGGTTCTTGGTTAGAAAGAATGTGATTTTCCAGAGGTCTATGGATCTATTCAAGAAGGTATGAAACAGAAAACTTGGGGGCTGGGGGAAGGCAAGAGGGGGAGGACAATAAAAATGTTCCTATGTTGAAGATATCAAAAATAAATACATAAGTTACAGGAAAAAAAAAACAGGTAGAGGGATAGAGAAAGCTTTGCATCACTGCCACTTCTCCAAGATAATCACCTTTAGGAGGTCAGAGAAAAAGGTTCAAGTAAAGGCTTACTGACTGAACACCTGAAAGAGCACTTCTGAATAGAATTCTCTCTTAATACATCAGCTGAAACCATATGGGCTCTCTTAATAAAATATTAATAAAAAATTATGACATCTGCACACATTAAGAATATGTCCCACTGACCAGAACATGTAAGTCCTAGAACAGGAATATGAATGCCATCATTCTACCGCCTACACACCTTGTTGGTGGTGGTGGTTACTATCGAGTCAATTTCAACACATAGCAAACCCATGTGTGCAGAGTAGAACTGCTCCACAGGGTTATTAAGGCTATGCTCTTTCAGAAGAAGATCATCAGGCCTGTCTTCTGAGGTGCCTCTAGGTGGGTTCAAACCACCAACCTCTCAGCTAGTAATCAAGCACCTGTTTGCACCATGCAGGGACTTCTTACACATATGGAAATAATTCATCAATTACTATTTTAGAACCTCAATCATTCAGGTGATAGAAAAGTTATAGCTGTACTTTTGGTATTCACTTGAGGAACTCATAGCCAAAGCTCTCTTATGAGTAAACAACAGCTCCTCAAACAAAATAGATTACAGAATCTAATGCAACAACACGTTAATAGCAAGGATCAGTTAATGGCCCATCCATAAAAATATTACAATATATTTCAGGAACTTCACGTGATAAAGCTCATCCCAGTAATTCTTCTCTACTAGCATTCTTCCAGCAACTTCCATTCATCCTTCAGGTGTCATTTTAAATGTTTATTCCTATGGAAACTTCTCTGTCGATTTCACTAGACTATAAACTCAGAGGGCAGACTGGATTTGTAGTGCTTGACAAATCATTTATGTTCAATATATTTTTGTTGAAAGAAGATTGTAGGAGTACTGAACACACATATCGTGACTTTCAGATCAAAAAAATTCTGTTAACAGTCAACTGCTAAGAGAATGATTTTATCCTCTACTCCTATTGTGTAATACGCAATGACAAAGCCTTATTATCCATGGTCCCATTACCACTTTAAACATGCATGGAAGCACTTTTTCTCTAAAGGTGTAATCAAACATTAAAACTTTACTGGAATTTTATCTATAATCCAAAAGTCTATATGGACATCAAAAATTCAGAGCTAACAGGTTTTAGGACATGTCTTTTTCCCCACTATACTAAAGTTCAATAACTGACTCTATTTCCAAATATATTCTTCTCAAAATAGTATTTTTAATTCTTATACATTTTCATTATATTAAAAGATGTGTATTTAAAAATAATTGAGTACTGGTAAGTAAATATCTTCTTTTAAAATATCCTCTAATTTTAAAAGCAACTGTATCAAGAAAATAAGGGGAGCCTGAGCCCAAAGTCAAATGCACTGCCGTCAAGTTCGCTCTATCTCATAGCGACCTCTCTGTGGGTTTCCATGGCAGTATCACTATGGGAAGTAGACTGCCCAACCTTCCTTCCTGAGGAGTTGCTGGTGGGTTTGAACCACCAACCTTCTGGTTAGCAGTCAAAGGCCTTAGGCACCACACCACCAGAGTTCCAGAGCCCAAAGTCAGAGCTACTGAAAAACAAAGATACATCAGTAAAAGCAATAAACATACAAATCTTCCACAGCACTGATATCTTAAAAATTCAACCAAAAAGGTATACAACCTAATTAATACAAGAGCATTCCTAGTAAATATTAATCCCTAGCAAATGCTTAAAATGAATTAACAAAGAAAAGTTTAAGTACGTGGATAGTCATCCCTATGAGCCACAATGGATTTACAAAACCAAAGCAAGGCAATTTATCTATCACTGCTTTGATAGAGGAATGTTTTGTGACAAGAATTTCAAGAAAGCACCTGACAAAGTCTTAAATGAGAACCTAAAGTGGAAATGATAGTTGAATAACACAAAACAATGTTGATAAATGATTGAGGTTAACATAGAGGTCTTTAGAGATTTTACTTTTTGACCTTATGCTAATCAACATAATTATTAATGATTAATACAAACGACAAAAGGTATACTTAATTTGCAGATACAACCAAGATGTTTTTATCTGCTGCTAACATATTTAAAAAAAAAAAAAAAAAAAGCTAAAATCACTGTCATCAAGTCAATTCCAAGGTATAGTGACCCTTTCTTGGGTTTCCAAAGCAGTATCTCTAAGGAAGTAGATTGCCAGTCTTCCTTCTAAGGAGTGGCTGGTGGGTTTGAACCACCAGCCTTCTGGTTAGCAGTCAAATGCCTTAGGCACTAGGTGACAAGAGTTCCCACTGCTAATATATAGGATCACTAAATGAAACTGTAAGGTGTCTAACAGAACAGAATTGAAAATCAAAGTTATTTAGATGAAATTTAGAATTCCTAGATTTAAAAGAAAAAAATCATGAACTACACATAAACAATTGTGGCTGAAATAAATAAATAGATAGATAAATAAATACAAATATTGTAATATATATATGAACACAGGAGCTCTGGTAGCATAGTACCTAAGGCACTTGACTGCTAACCAGAAGACCGGCGGTTCACACCCACGAGCCACTCCTCAGAAGGAAGGTTAGGCAACCTACTTTCGTAGTGATACCGCCTCAGAAACCCAAGGAGGGGTTGCTATGAGTCAGGGCTGACTCCACAGCACATAACAACTATATATATGAACACATACACATGCACACACAAACATACAAACATACATACATACATGTAAATGGCTTAGGTTTCAGTTGCCTACAATCTCAATAAAGGCCAGTAATGCAATGTGGTTACCATAATAAAAGTTAACTTTTGGCATCATGACTTAAGTGGATCAGAAGGAAATTTAGGAAAGCAAAAGTTCTAGAAAGTAGACTAAATAAAAGGAACAGCTGAAGGAAATAGAAATATTCAAACCTGGAAAAGAATCATGATGGATATGACAGTACTGCATAAAGCATTTGACTGCTAACCAGAATCTGGCACTTCAAATCCACCAGCCACTTGGAAGGAAGGTTGGGCAATCTACTTCCGTAAAGATACCACCTCAAAAACCCAACAAGGGGTCGCTATGAGTCAGAATTGACTCGATGGCAATGAGTTTGGTATTTTTTTTCCCTAACTACATAAAAAGCTACAACATAAAAGGAAGAAATATATTTGTATGTACAGCTCTAAGACAAATAACCAGTATCAAGTAGATGTCACAGAAAAAGATTTTAATTTTTTTGTAAAGAATAAGCTATAAAAGGTGAAAGAAAGGACTGGATTGTGATACAGTAATTTAAGAAGAGGAAATAATTTAAGAGAACGGGAGTAGGCAGGAAACTGAATTCAGTGAAATGTGATGTCCCTTTCAACATCACTAGCCTTGTCCCTAGCTGCCATCCAGTCATTCAGATATAGGTTGTCCTAGTTAAATTCATTTACTTCCTTTTGTATATTATGATAAACACTTTTCAAGTTACAAATTGTGTTGTTACATACACCCTGAAGTTTATTTTTATTCTAATTAATGTAACTCAAAATCTTCCCCACATTTGTCATTAAAAAAGGTAAAAGACAAAAACATAAAATAGGAAAACAATGGGATTAATTGGCCGGGGGAGCATAAAATATCTGTGATGGGAAGGAAATGATGTTAACTAGGGCAACCTGCTGACTCTCTGGTGATACCATGGTTAAATGGCTGGCTGCCAACAGAAAATTTGGTGGTTCAAACAAACCAAGTGGGACCTACGGAAGACAGGCCTAGAGCTCTGCTTCCAAAAGGTCACAGCCATGAAAACCCTATGGATCACACATGGAGTCTCCATAAGTAGGAATCAACCTAACGGCAACAGCAACAATACACAAAAAGGAATTATCAGTAATACTGTAGTGCCAGCAATGACTAGCTTGACACAACAAAGTTATAGTCAGAACATTCATGTAAGTGAAACAATGGATGAAAAGAACAGTGTGATTTAGAAAGATAATTAATCTTACAAAGTTCCACAGGATTAACCCAAAAGGAAGAAATTTAATTAAATGTGTGTATGCAT